GCAATAACACGATTCAACCTCAAATTTCATCTAATTCAATCCGATCAAGTCCACCATGGACAGCCATTATTTCGGCCCCTCTTGGCCATCATTTTCCTTCCAAATCAGCACACTAAGTCACTAATTCCACCACAGAACAGCCAATAAATCATCTAAACGTGGCATACTCGAGAAATTGCAATTTAAACCACATATTGTCCAATTAATCCTCAACTTGGACAACCACTAATCCGGCCATCAAGAGCAATCATTCAACATTAAATTGTCTTATTACACTCCTCAATTAGTCCCGATTCCACCACATCATGATCAGCCACTAATTGCCCCTAAAACCATCCTAATTAACCCATAAAATCATCTAAACCTATCTAGAGAGGCAAAATTAGTCCTAATTAAGGTTTAGGAGTTTATACTCACTCCAATTAAGCTCCAACCAGCACTAAACCGATGGGGAACGAGCGGCCAATTGCAAACGTACGGTGGAATCGACGGCAGCGTCCCGGTGGCGTCCACGGTGGCGGCAGTTGGGCGGCGGTCCGGCGGACCTTGGCTGGACCGAACGGCGGCGAAACAGGGCAGGTGAGGCTGGTGGTGTTGGTCGCAAGGGAAGAGAGAGAGAGGGGTGAGGGTGGCGGTCGGACGGCGAGGCGGTGGCCGGCTTGGGCGGACGGCGGTCCGGCGAGTCCTTCACGCCGGCGACTCTCGGCTTGGCTGGTTCGGCGTCCTCACCAAACAGGAGAGAGAGAGAGGAGAGATGGGACGGTGGTGGTGAGACGGTCGGAGGTGACTCGGGCGGTGGCACGGCGGCGAACGGCGGCCGGCGGTGCTCCTCTGGCGGCGGCGCTCCTCCGGCAGCGGCGTGCTACGGGGAGAGAGAGAAAGAGAGAGAGAGAAACTGGCGGGATGGAGGGGAAGAGAGAGGAGAGAGAAAATGGTTTGGCTTGTTGGGTAAGACAATGAAGAGAGAGAGACAAATGCAATAAATACTTTGACCAACTTTCCAAAATTCCAATTTTGCCCTTGAAGACTTGGCCCACATTCATCCTCATCCAATAATTGAGGGGCACTTTGGTCAATTGGTCCAATAATTAAGCTGAAAACCAAATATTAATTTCCCCAAATTATTCCAAAAATTCGGAGCCCAAAATAGGCCATGGGCAAAACGGTCATTTTTCCGGTCTCGGGTCGAAATTCCATTTTTGGACCGTACCAACCCCAAATGTGTGTGGCCAACATAATATGACGTCGGATTTGCAAAAATAGTCTTACAAGCCCTCGAAAATCAACATCGAAGTCCGGGTCCAATTTTGTGACCAAAACTCACGCAATTTTCAATTTTAGGGTCTCTCACTGACGGGCGGCTGTTTAGGGGTTACGTGTAACGACCTAAGGTTACTCGATCCGTGACGGTCTTGATTACCGGGAGAACGTGAGGAATTATCACTAGTTCCGGAGATCGCGATCGTTCGGTTTAAGTTTGGGATTTGCTTGCCACGCGCACTCTCGGTCTTGCGGAATCACCCGCGATCTGATCGTGCGTCATCGGCCAAACTAAATCCATCACCCTCCTAGGATCGCCCATGTTGGCCCAAAATATTTTCTCGTCGTTTCTCGGTATCGATGCCCGATTCGCGATCGGGTCCCTGGTCCACGTACTGTTTCCTAATTTGCCATTCCCTATCGGTCAGTATCCCGAGAGAGCTCAATTTCGGGCGAGACTTACTAAAATTAAATGAAGAATAATATCAATATTATTGATCCCGGAAATGAGTCGAAATTCGAGATGTTACACCTAGAGCTCTAATAGCTTGTTCATTTAGTGGTGCATTTTTGGGTTTAGGGTTTTTTTTGAGGTTTTAACCCTTTAAATTTGGAATTTTTCCAAAAATGCTACTTAGGCATTTCCGAAAATTCCAATTTCACTTTTTTAATTGGCCACAATGATTTTGAATTATTCTGTGGATTTTCAAATTTTTTGATTTTTGATTTTTTTTAAATGCCATTTGGTCATTTTCAAAAATTCAAATTTCACTTTTTATGGCTGGCCACGATGATATTGGACCTTTCTGTGAATTTTCAAATTTTTTTAATATTTTGAAAATTTTGATTTTTTTTTCGGAAAAATTTTTAAACCGGGAACTAATTTTTTATGATTTTCTGGAAATTTTTACGAATTTTCCAATTTTTCAATTTTTTATTGATTTTCCAAAATTTTCATATTTTTTATTTGCATTTTCCGAATTTTTTGGATTTTTAAGAACTTTCTAAAATTTTTTGAATATTTATGAATTTTCAGTAAATTTTCAAATTTTCTAAAAAATTCTAATTTTTTTTTTATGATTTTTATGATTTTTTTATTATTTTATGATTTTATGATTTTCTATTTTCCTAATTTTTATTTGATTTTGATTTTGATTTTTTGTTTTTTTTCGAATTTTCCCGCCGGCAAAACGAATCGGACCGGACTGGTTCGACCCGGTTTGGCTGAGCCGAACCGGATGTCGCTGGCGCCGGTTGCTGGTCACCCCCTCCAGTGGGCACGGCATGCCAAAACGGCGCCGTTTTGCCTTAGGTTCATTGGGACATTTTTATGAACGGGTGGTGTGCATGGATTTGTATTTAATGTTTTTGAGGCCACCGGTTCGGGCTCACCTACAGCGACCTTCCGGCGACTATCTCGCTGTTCCACTTGCACCGTCGTCGAGTTCACATGTTCTAATATCAATCTAGCTTAATTAGGTTGCCGCCGGACGTTCGCCGGCCGGCGAAAAATCGGTCCAAAAGCCCTAACTTGTAAACTGTTCAAGCATGGTTTCTAGAATACAAATCTCGATCTTGATCGCCCTAGCCATCTAGATCGATCCCAATCAATACAAAATCGACAAAGAGAGTCTAGGGAGTCTAACTTGGACGGCCTACGGCCGAAAGGAAGCTCTGGCGAGAACCTCCGAGCTCCGGCGAGGGGTTTCAATGGCGGCCGACTTGATCAAATGCAATTTTAATCGCCCCAAAATGTAATCATGCAATGGAAAATGTGATTAGAAACTCTTTACAAGCATTAGCAAACCCATATTCGCAAAGAAAACGCATGATCAGCAAGGTTTAGCTCAAAGTCACTTTCGGGAATTCTGGAAAAACAAAATTGAAGATTGAACTTTACCTGCTTAGTTGGAGGATCAGGAGAACTTTCTGAGTTGATCAAATGCCGTGTACCTGTTTACTGACACTTGAACTTCATGCTAGAGGCTTCAGCTTCATCGGAGAGGCTTTGGATACACCAATCGAGGATCGTTTTCAGGCCACGACGATCACACCTTCACTGGTTACTCAGGTGTGGAAGATTACGCCCCGAACCGATTTGCCGGCGTTTCCTCGTCGGAGGAAACGTAGAACACTCGATTCCGGGATCCTCTACACACCTCTCACGCTTTTTCCTCTCGCTCCTGTTCTCTGGTTCGTTCCCTCTCTCTTCGTTAATCTCTCGAACACCTTCCGTCCCCCTCCGGTCAGTTTTTCTTGTTTTTTGTTGATTGATTTCCCGCTCAAAATCCGTTGGAGCCGACCTCCGATCGGTTGGGGTTGTTAATCGGTGCCAGCTGGAAGTTTTCCAGCTGGCCAAATCGATTAAAACGTGCTAATTTGATCGGGGTAAGTCAATGAAGTTGCGGGCACGTGCTGGTTTTCTTGGGTTTTTTTGTACATTGGACAAGTCGAGTAGGGAAGATGAGCTGTTCGGGTCGAGTCAGGTTGACCTGCCCAACCCGGCAATTCCGATTTTGACCAAATATTCAAATTGGACTCAATTTCAACCGATTTTTTTCAAATTAAACCCCAAAATTGGATTTCCCATCATATTCCGAACCCAAAGATATGATTTTCCCCAATTTTTATTGTAATTGAGCCCAAAATTTTCTCATTTTTGTGCTCGGATTAATAGGGTTTTGTTCAATTTAATGTTCTAATGACCTGATTAGGCAAAATTGATGCCAAAATTGAATTACCCACCCCTGATTAACCCTAGAAATGATAGTCTCATATTTCGACAATTTCATTTTGGGCACGATTCCCAATTTGGGTTCAAAATTTTTAATTTTCAATCAAATTTTGGGGGATTTTTTATTTTTATGTCAAATTGTGCAATTGGACCAGCTATTGTACAATTCAAGGTCCCAGAATCAATTGTTGTGAAGACACTATGACTTAAAAATGTTTAGAAAAAATTTAATTTAATTTTTGGTTCAATTTGGGTTTAATTTTGCCCAATTTTGGGAAAAACATATACCCGATTGAGATTTTCTAAATTGACAGCGTATTTATGAAATTGGATTTAAAATAAAATTAATGACTATTTTTATGGAATTTTCTGATTCCATTTACTATTTTTCTTGATTTTCTTGCCTATTTTGACTAAAAGAAATTAAGAAAAAATGCAGAAAAATGTTAAAAAAAAAAATTTTGGTTTAGAAATAGGTTTCTAGGCTTGGCCAAGATTCCTAGACCTAATTTTGAAATTTTTGAAAATATGACAAAAATGGACTAAAAATTAGATGTCAACAATACCACGTGTCATCTAGTTCAACAATTTGATGGTAAAATTTAACGGAACTAATAGAAGGTAAATTTGTCGTAGGCATATCAGTTTTGGATTTTTCACGGTATTAATCCTGTTAAATATGAAGTATCGACTCTTTTTGTGGAAATACAAAAAAAGAAAAAGAAATTGATAGTTTTCTATGCTTAATAACTAATTTCACGTGATTTATTTTTCTACAATTTATTTGCCAATCCAATATGGCAAGTATCATCGTGATGCAGACAGCCTAACTCAAGTAATGAAACTAAAGTGACTGAATCAGCCTCGAGTTGATTGGGGTGTTGTCGGATTTTTCTTAGTTTTCTCATTCGGCTGAACAATTCTCTTGGGATATTCTCCTTTGCATTCTTATTTACATTTTAATTTTTTTTTTTTTGGTCAAGACATTTTAAATTTTGACTCCTCTCTAATTCAAACCCGGATAATAAGGAAAACCGGTGTCGTTGAGCCACTGGCTACCTTGAATGAAAGACCCGACAGTGAACTGACTTGCCTCTGTCGAGTTGCTAATAACTCTGTACCCAGGCCATTTCACTCGGCCACTCGTGTCTGAACCCGGGCCTCTGTTCCGGTACTCCCCATAGAAGAGCGTGTTCAACCCATATGAGCCGTTGGACTCCAACCACCCAGCTGAGGCAACCAGGTCGCCAATATATGACTCCATGATCACTGTCCTCGAGAACTCTTTCCATGGACGGCCAAGAAATGACTTGTACGATGACTGTACAGGGGCAAGGTCTGGTGCGGCTGTGAAGTTGCAGCCAAGGAACGACATCCCGGTATACCCGAGTGGATTTTCTCTGCCCTGGGCAGTGAACACACTCTTCCATCGCTCTGGTTTGCGCACATACAAGTTGCAATCCTGGAAAACCACCGCCGCATCTCCAAACATAAAATCGATAGTGCCATATACATCGCAGTCTCGATAAAACTGGCGATGACTGTGCACGTACAACGTGTCTTGGTACCCCAAGAAACTACACTGGAAGAGCGCTGACTTGTCCGACCTGCTCCTAAAAGCCACTGCCTGATGTTTCTCCGGCCCCGCAAAATTCTCAAAGGTGATCCCCTTAGCGAGAAATCCATCACCATCAATACCTGCAGAGAGAGGAAATGACATTAAATATTATTGACTTAATTACATATCCTTTTGGCAATTGAACCGAGTAGGTTAACACAATTGAGAGCAGCTAGCATAACAGTAATCTAAGATCACCCTTTCTAATATTTTGCCACCGGGTATTAATTTCTCACTGAAATGGGCTGAGAATTATAAAAGCTATCAATATTTCTCATATAACTATAAAACCGAAACCTTAACAAATTTTTTTTTTGGTCTTGTCCTACCGTAACTTTCAACTCAGTTTTTCCCTGCTTCCTTGCAGAACGTGGGAGTCGAACCCCACACCTGAAACTAAACGTTCCCACCCCCAACCTCTTATGAGAAGGTGGACATTCGAACTCCTCACCTCCCTCTTTCCATGTGAGAATGGTAGCCACTAGGGCAACCCTAATGGTTTTAACATTTTATCCTTTTTAAGTGCATCCATTTCGCAAGTATATGCCCTATCCAGTGCAAAGTAAAATTTTAATCCAGCCGCTATAACTTCAAAGTACATGCAAAGAAATGAAAATCTTTTGAACTTGAAAAATGGTGAGATTTGATAAATTTGAGGTGTGGACGTATTTTAAAAAACATGTAATAGATTTCGATTTTGAATTGGAGACCACTATTATTAAGTACATGATAATTTTTTTAGTATGGAGTCATCCACTCACATTGATATGTTCTCGATTTTTTTTCCGTTTTAGGTGCGAATGCGAAATGATATTAAATGTTATTTGCCGATAAGAAGTTCAATAATAAGGTAGGAATTGCATAATCCATAACGATTTCATATTTTAGAGTGGTTTTTCTCTTCAGTTTTGGAAAAATGAAAATCAGTGTATATACAAATATATGTTCCAAAGTATAAGAAACACCTTAGTATCGAAAAATGGTATATTAATAAAATAAACACCCTTAGGTCTTATTACTATATGATAAGAATGTAAGCGGAGGGGATGACTTTCTAAATGGTACAAAAAAACAACAAGAAACATAGTGAGCGCAAGAGACATACAAACAACGAGTAGATTCATAAAATTACTTGCAAAAGAACAAACGATCGCCGATTGGTAAGTAGAGCAATTTGTATTTCTATTTGATTAGAAATTGAGTTTCAAGAACTCACCGACGGTGGCCGACCAGTAAGTGGTCCAACCATCAACGTAGTTCCGATCGCCTTTGATCAACGTCTTCCCGATCCCGTCGCCTACGAACATGAGGTTGGTCTTTTTTTTGTTCACCGTGACATACTCGAAATACTCCCCCTCTTTGATGTAGATGACAAACCTGTACAAAACAAGAAAATTGGTAAACGAGGAAGGTGAGGTTTTCAGAATTTGAAACATAATAAAAATATTACCTTAACAAGAGATTAATAGGAATTCGTTTTCAAAGTTGCCAATGAAATGTAAGCGAAAAATCTTAACGAGAGAACTACTTGGGAAAGGGGAGATGAGGGGTTCAAATCCCCACATTCTCAAGGGGCTAGGGACGTTTAGTTGCAGGTGTAGGTTTCGACTCCTACGTCTTGCAAGAGGCAGGACAAAAAGTTTGAGAATGAGATGAGAGTTAGAGTAGGATGGACAAAAAAAAATACTATTTCATATTTCTTGAGTTAGTTGTTTTCTTGTCACAAATAGTCTTCCATTTATGGAGTTTTCTTTTTTATGTAGGCATACTCATTCCTTCTTATTTATACACACCTCTCCCTACATTAATGAAAACATAGTATCAAAGCCTTTTCATCCCAAGTAGTAAATACCGCTATATCCATTCCTTTTTATTAAAACTTGCAAACACCAAAATGAAGATGAATAAGTTTCAATTCCATTCCACTCTTCTCATTTCGAATGGACAAAGTATTACTTATATTCGTAGCGGCAATCGGCAAACCCCTCGGTTGTATCAGAAAGTGGGAGAATAATCCATTTTATAGTGTTTTCAATTTTACAAAATAGACATATACAAATAATTGATTGTTGATGTTGTCAAAGTCCTATGCTTTTATAGTTAACTTAGATTTATTAATAAAATGGAACACTATCCATGCAATGAAAGTATAACTATTAACATCTAAATGAACTAGGACACAATGGTTGTCTATATAAGCTGACAAAAATTCGACCAAAGTATTTCATAACGATTGTTGAAAGACAATTCCCATTAATGACGTTTAAAGGTATTTCCTTTTAAACTAAGATAAAGTACTTAAGAAATAAAAATAAAAATAGCTATAAGCCATAGACAGCTGCACATTATACAATATTTCTTCAAGCATTCAAACGGTTTATCTTCTGCTTTCGATTTCAAGTTTATGCAACGTGTGTACTAGTCCACTAATCCTCAAGAACACAGCACCACTAAAAGTTACTATTAGCCCTAGTTGTTACACCAAGAACGAAATTTGAAGAAACAATACTAATAAGATCAGCCAAATGTGCAAAACTTACAAAAATACCTGGTCTCGCTCTTGTCCGGAGCGGCGGCCACAGCATCATTGATGGAGGTGAAATTACCAGATCCATCCTTCGCCACCACAAGATCGAAATTTGTCACATCCGTCGGGGTTTGCATCAATAGGCTATCTTCTGAATACATCCACGCTGGGAACCGCCCTCTCATACCGTGTCCAGAAGAATTATTGATGCCGCGCATCTTTGTCAGGAGGAATATTGAATTGCTTACATGGTGTGAGACGTTCGCAAGCTTATCCTTCATGCTGTCTCCGAGATTCAGATTATCTGTGCGGGGATCGAACTCATCAGTGCACGTGTAAACATTGGTCATCACTCCGCTAAGGAGGGACTGAAGGTCATAATAGTGGCGTCTAGTGACTTTCGAGCCCTCAAGGTACAAGAGGGCACGGTCAAAGTCGTCGAGGATGTCATGAAATAGCTCAAGGCAGATGTCCAGGGCTTGCCATTCGAGCATGCTAAGCTTCTCAAGGAAATGGTTCTTCATGACTGTGCAATGCGTGGAGGCAGCTCTCACTTTGGAGGCGGAGTTGTGGAGTGTGGCAGATATGATCTCTGGGAGGGACATGGAGGCGAGGCCCGGTAAGGCAGCGAGAGTGGAGACACAGAGGTCCGGGCAGGGAGCGCTTCGGCAATTGGAGTGAGTGACTTGGAGTTGGCTGTGGGGGTTTTTGGCGGGGATGAGTTTGGGCGAGAGCAAGAGGAATAAGAAGAAGATAATCGCGGGGTGTACTTTGAAAGTGGACATGGTTGAGTGTGTTGACTATGGGAGTATTGATCTTTTTAGTAGTTCCTGCATTCAAGTTATAGAAGCAACTTCAGAGAAAATAGAGAGTTATAGATGTTTTGACTCAATAATCTACTTTGACTAATTAACAACAGGGCTCGAGATCTCAAGGTAAGCAAAATGATGACATGGACCCGACATGTTATCGTTTACAAGGAAAATTGCAAGCAGCAAGAGAAAATGCCAATCATGAGGAGCCCTATTGCTAATCTACTAGTCTATCTTGACTATTATCCTGAATTGATAAACGAACCATAAAGAATCCTTAACAAGGGAGGAAGAAGAACCTAAAAAGATGGCAAGAATGAAAGTGGAGCCGGAGTGAGGTTGCTGAGTTTTGAACCAAGAATTGGAGAGTGTTGCAACCTTCCCAAAAGGTGAACCACTAAAAGGAAAGCTAACATATTATTAAGCCCAAAGACTTAGCGCAAACTCTCCCAAACCCATACCAATCGCAACTTTTGGATTTTGATTTAATCAATTTAACATGCAAATCAATTCAATTATGAGTCACCACTGATTTATTAAGAGTCGATTAGAAACCCAACTAACAAGAAATTCATGGATACGGGGGTCTGGTTATGCTAAATAAATCTAATGCCTTTTTGGTACCCTTTCTTTTTATTTCAAAAACACTTTGCAAGCAGTCTTGGACAATTTTAATCTTAATCTACAAGCATGCAATGGTTGATTATGCGGGTGTGCAATCAATAATGTGATCCTCAATAAATCAAAGCAATAAATAAATTGCTAGAAATAGGGAAATTCTCAATGCATTAAGCAAACATTTACTTCATTACGATAGTTTCCCAATATCTACAAGATGTTATGTGAAAAAAAAAGGTATGCATGGCCTAAACATGATTTCTAAATGCAATGAGAAATAATTATTTTTGGGTTTTTTCTATAAAAATTAAACTATATGCAATGCATGAGAAGCAATTTTAATTTAAGGCTCCGTTTGCTTTGATGATGGCTCGGTCCAATCTTCTCTGATACAACAAGAAGACTAATCTTTTTGATCACTATACAACATAATTGATAAGAGAAAGCAACTCAAAGAAAATGTGCAATCCATAAAGTTTCATTGCATGGATAATGTCAAATGAAATTAAGCTTAAGAAATCTTACCTCAGATTGCAGTATACTTGATGTTTTAGGATGAGAAGAAATAAAGACAGAAAATTTGATTGTGTTAGCAAGAGGCGATACGACCGATTTATACAGAATTTCGAGGTGCCTCCTTTGGTATGTAGATGTCATTTTTGAAAATCACGACATCAAAATTATCTAAAAGAGATTTTGCTATTACTTTTACGGAGGTTTTCCTAATTCATTACCATTTTAGGGTTATTTAATTACGAAAATGATGAAAAAAGATGAAAATGTTCAATATCATTCTATAATAGAAGATTGAGTGTGAGATATGTGGTGTCCTTTCATTAGTAGGGTTAGGTTATAATACCAAAATATACGGTATGTCTTGAAGTCATTGCTTGAATTAAAGGTTCTAAGATTTGTACTATTTACCTTTAATGTCTACTCATATTAGGAGATTGATTACTTTCAAATGAAATAAAAAAAAAAAAAGTTGACCTAAATAGAGTTAAATATACTCCATGCCAATATTCATCGTTGTAACATACCATTAAGTGAACTTTAATTAATCCTAACATATTAAGCATTGTGCATGAAGCATTCAACATGCAATTGTCGCAACGTCTCCCTTTTTTGGGAGAGAAGAGATCAACTGTTCGAATCTGAGATCTAAAAATATGGTGAAAAGAAAAAAAAAGTATTCATATGGAAACCAACCCAAATAGTATATGTAGAAAGTAATGGTATGTAATCTTTTAAAGGCAATGCATAAGGAAGTATTTCTTCAAACATTATCCCCTCCTTTTTGGATAGTCAGGCTAATTAGATTAGTCAAATTGACTAACGGGCCTTTTCAATAAATCTGAAAGAAAAGTGCATGAAAATTTAAGTTCTGAATTTTAAGTGTTTATCATTTTTAGTGCTGAAAAAGAAAAGAAGACATTATTTGATAATAGCTGAGTATTGAGCATCAATGATATTACCTTATTACAAAATATGCAACATGAAATTGGTATGTTTTAGGATTTAAGTAATGCAATGATAAAGATTTTTATTCGTATGTGGATGCCTTTCTAATGGATGAATTAACTACTTGCATCTTGACTTAGCAAATTAAGTGACTTTTTGTCTTAATTGAATCTTTTGAGAGGAAATTATTTAAACATTTCGTATCTCATCGAATCTTCAATTACATCTCTATGTTTACACATTCTGAAACATTATTCTATGCTCTTTTGCTAGTTAATTATAAAAATGATGTGCGTTAGTGTGGGCATTCATTGAAAGATCCCTGTATAAGTAGTTATCGACATGTAAGTGTTACAATGAAATGCTTGTGGCCAACCAAAAATAATTATTTATGGAACATATCAATTTGCTTAAGTGTTAGTTAGATGACCCTTGGCCTACTCGGTCAAGGGCATGATCAATTTGCCTATGCTAGCCACTTGCTGGCAATAGGAAGTTAGAGGATCACGAATGTTCACAGTGGTGAAGAAGCTCAAAGCACTGAAATGACAACTTAGGAGCCGGAATAGAACTCGGTTTGGTGAATTACTGTGACATTTTGAAATTTGACCTATTTTCGGGATTTATGAAAGGAATATATCTTCGATGCACTTTTAGTTAAATTTCACTTGGAATTGATCACTCTTGAGAAAACTAACCTTTAAGGAGGCCAGCTGGGAACTAAGTACATGGACCTAAGAACTTGACCATGGATTGACACTTCAATCATGAGGATTGATGAGGAAATATTTTGGGCTACTATAGGTCGATCCAAGAATGGTTATGGAACGACTCGCCAATGTTATACAATTGAATCGCGGGTGATTCCGCTTGGCCATTGTATGAATTTCGAACGATCCTAAACTTATTCCAAACAATCGTGTCCATCGAAACTAGTGATTGACCATCGTAATTACATAACAACTGAGGCTGCCATGGCTTGAATAAACTTAAATATGGTTTGATAATTGAGTCAACCACAGGTTGATATGCGTAACTCCTGAAAGCCGCCCGTTAATTTGAGATATACTAAAGTCGCGATTGATTGGTTTTAGCCATGAATTACAGTTCGAAATTGAGTATCAAACTTTCAAGGTTCCACGACTAATTTATTGGACATCGTCTCATTAAGCTTGGCCATTTGTTTGTTAGCTCAGAAATTATCGGAAAAGTGAAATTTGGACTGAAGTTGAAAAAGACCATTTTACCCCTGAGATATTTTGAATTCATTTGTTGCATTGAAGGGCAATTTGAACTTTATGGCTTTCCCCTCTTGGCCGAACTACATTGACCACTTTGCCCCTATCCTCCTCCTTGTTTATTTATTTATTTGCCATTAGTTATTTAGGTCAATTATTTTGGGAGATTAATTGTGAACCCTAGGATTTTGGTTGGAGAAGAAGAAGGAATTTTGACCATTGGATCCTAGTGGGGTGGTTCATAGGGTTTGAGTGGGGTTAGTAAACACCATCCTCTCACTCTTCTCTCTCTCTTATCATTTGATCAAGTTCACTTCACTCTCTCCCTCACTCTCCTCTTCTTCGGCCGAAGCTCACCACCACCATTGCCGACCAGCCCTTGCTCAGCCGTGAACCACCACTCCTCGCCGCCTCACACTACCACTACCATCCCCTCTCTCCCTCTTTCCCTCTCTCTTTCAGATGACGCCACCCCAGTCGAGACACCATCGTCCCAGCCATCCCTCCGCCGAGACCGCCGTCGCTCCGGCGAAGCTGGCTGCTATTTGACCATGAATTGCGCCGCCCTTCTTGCTCGATTTCTTGCTTAGGCTCCCTAATCAAGTGGCTCCCTAAACCTTGGTTAGGATAATGGGTTGCTAATGGCATGTTTAGGGGCTGTTTAGGGCTGAAGTAGGGGTTGATTAAGGGCTATTGATAGGTGGTTTAGTTGTTGAATGAGCTTGGTTTGCTTGATGGTTCATGTTGGTTGATTCTCGGTTTTATTACTGCTGTATCTTTGTGATTTACTATTTTTGTGGAGACTTTGATGGTCCAAATCTAAAGTGGTGTTCTTCATGAAAGTTGTTCTTAACATCTTGAAGTATAACATATTTTAAATTTGGAATTTTTAGAGGTCATTTGTGGTCATTCGAAAGTCCATCTTCACACCAAATTTAAACTGCCCTGGATTTTTGTTCACTAACCCTTTTGTCTTTCCAAATTTTTATAAATTTTTTCAGATCTCTTTTCAACAAAATTCCTTCACAAAAATTGTTAAGACATGTCTTTCTATGACATATAAAATTTTTGAAGCTTTCTAGCTAGATTTTGGTACCGAATGAGATGTATTTTGAGGGCCGAGTGGTCTGTTCGAATGACCTGATTTTGGTCTGACTTCTAGTGACAAAAATACGTGTTTACACTTTGAACTGGATTTCATGTTCTTCATAAGAAATGTTTATCAAGATGTTTTCTATGACATATCCAAAATTCAAAATTTTTGGAGTTATTTTACTATTTATTTCAAAAGGAATTCTATTGCTGTGCATCAGCCCAGAAATTGCCCCGATTCATGTGTACTCGGTTTTCTCTCTCTTGGATGATTATCCTACGATATTATTACATTTGAAAGACGTGACACTTTGTTGGATGAGTACGGATTTGGTTTGCATTCGGCTAATTCGCAAAGATAGGAATTGGTAATGATAGTTGAAGTGTGTGCATGATCATGACACGTTCCATCTAGGCGAGAGTTCTAGACGATCCCTGACGGGAGTTTGGATGCCGTCCAAGCGGGGGTTCTAAATGTTGCCGATCATGGTGGAGGCCGATCGATGCTCCTAAATGGAATGCCGTCTGGTACCCGACTTGCCGAAGGGTGTTCGATCCCAGACG